AGCATCAGTCTGCAGGGAACACACTGAAGGAGATGGGTGGGAGCGTCTGGAAGATCAGGATGGGTATTGGTACCAGCATGAGTCCCACTCCCGATACGAGAAGATGCAGAACAGTACTGCTGATGATGGCGCCTGGATCATCAGGATCTTCACGGCAACCAAGGCGGGCGATGGGAATGAGAAGATGGATAGGCCCCAGTAGGATTTAGCTCTGGAATGGGATCTTGATCTCAAGCAATACTGATCAGCCTGATGGCATGAGCAACTCGTCTATCCTGTGGTAGGGGGGGAGATCATAGAGATTCAGGAGCATTCGATCCCAATTGTGAGGGCGCTGGTCCTGGAGCGAAGACACTGCCTGCAAGGCATACAGGAACTCCTTGGAGGGTGTTTGATCCAGAATCACTTCTTCAGAGACAGAAGCAAACCGCCAGATGTGGTTTGCTGAGTCCCGGTGCTCTAAGGAGGGAAATGAAGACGGAGCCACGAAGAACTCCCCACGGAAACACCAAGGAGGCAGAAACAGGAAGCTGAGCCAGAAGGGTCAACCAGGGCATGGCCGGTTGGGTGGCAAGAGACTGAAACTGGAGCTGAAAACATCGGTGCAAACAGGGAGGTCGGTTGCACAGGTGGAGTTGAGACGGTAAGATCAAGGCAAGCTGACCCTGTAAGGGCAGAACCACGGAGGTTGTCTTCAAAATCAGAGCCCGGGTATGCGCTGCAGAGAGAAATCCCTCAATTTGGCTTGGCTGTACTCCTTGCGCTTCACGTTCTTGGACTCAGAAAACGCAATGTCAACAGAGATTTTGCAATGACACTTTGATGGAAGTTTCTTCACCTTGGGAGGCAAAAGATGCTTCTCTTGTCATCAATGGCCGCAAGGCCAAAAGATCGGAAGCAGGCATCTTGGACAGAAGGACCGACGTCTCATACCGGGAGGAGGGCTTCTCAGTTGATGCCGAGGGCCGAGATGAGGTCAAAGTCCTTTTCCAAAGGATGTGTTAACAAGACAAAGTTGGAAGGCAGTCCGGGCCTCCTACACTCTCCCAAAGGCCATGGAATTGTGAACAAAGCCTAAGAAAAGGCTAGGTAACGCAATAGGTAACGCAGGCCTGCGTTAAGTTTCTTCCCTGCCACTGAATGGAAAGGATGAAAAGGAACTGAGGGCTTTCCCTTTGGGAGCATTTAGTGATGGGGTCGGGCTCCCACCAAAGCAACTCAGCTATTGGATATTCACTCTGCACGGCCAAGCACAGAGACCCCACAGGTGGGATTCAGAGTAAGCAACGAAGAAGAACAGACCCAGAAAAGCACTCTGCGTATGACATGGGTTCTCACAGCCTTTCGCTGTCCCACAACATGCGGGAGAGGTGCTTCTCAAAAATCTGCCCAGCTCCCCAGTAAGCCGGGGCAAGGCGTTCAGGTGGTTTTGTTCCAAGCACTGCAAAATGTGATGGATCCCCACTAAAATTCACAGGTGCTTGTGAAGCCCCCAGGTATTCACACCTGACTTTCCTAATACTTTATTTCTAAATGCACTTCTAGCCTCTGAATCCCTCCATTGTGCTAACACATCCTGGTGGGAAATGTCTTGCCTTTCTAAAGCTCAGGCGTGTCTCCTGTGAGCGGTGTAGATGATCAAAGCATTCCCACAAGTTACTCTAGACAGTAAGACGCAGGGTGCGTTAGGATCACCATTGGTCTTACATCCTAGGGACAAAAACCCCGTCAAAAGCAGCAGAAAGGGTACATCATACAGAGAAGGAAGCAGATAATTAAGTACCGCCAGTGCCCAATTCAAGCCTGCTTTAGGCTCCTTCCACTAGGCAAGGACAACCAAGAACGCAGGAACCTGTCTTAGCCAGAGACAGGCCCTCATTCCCTTGAGGTCCAATCCTGTCTAACTCCAACTGGCCACAACGGCTCCCTAAGGTTTCAAGATGGGCATCTGAAACCAGCTCTAGGCTCAAAAACACTGGCATTCCCCGATAGCATGCCGTCCTAGTAGCTCCAACCAAGCCTGACCCTGCTCCGCCCCGAACGCAGATTATGATCCGTGCAGCATTCAGGGAGACAGGATGGTAACTCTTTATTTCCACAGCACTGCCTTAAAGCACACGCCTCTGTGATAGCATCGGTTACAGATTATGTACACAGGGAAGAGAGCGGGACAATTTGCTTAAGGCAAAAGGAGGATCTACTCATCGAACGACACACAGTTCTCTATAAAAGCTGTCCAGACAGGAGTAGGGCCTGCAGCTACCAAGAGCTACAGATCCGTACCTAGTTCCCACAATTTCGGTCACAGTCCGCACAAGACAAGCAGTCAAGACTCCACCTTGCCCCCGGGATCCCCACCCCCACCACCACTATTTCAAACAAATGCAGCCAAGTCATCATCCTTCTTGAAATATGAAAAATAAGGACATTCCTTAGATGATTTATATATATAAAACCAAAGCAATATACGCTTTTTTAAAAAAATCATTATCAATGTACTTCTAATTGCAAAAGTTTTTGTCGATACTACCTGTTGACTGAGTTTTTTAAGGTGAGAGATAACACTGTAACTAAGTCCACAATCTAAATTATCTGAAATCAGATTTGGAGCTCCCATCATCCTTAGGGCTTTCTTTAATGGCTATAAGGAAAACAAAATACACAAGAGTAAGAAGAGGACCAGATTTTTTTAAAAAAGAAAAGAAAAGTGTTTTTAACAAAATAAATAAAAGGTCTCACGGACCAGCGCACATATAAGGCGTAGCCGAGTTGGCGTTCCAACGTGCCACTTTTGGAAGCGAGACTCCAAAGTAGTACCGTTGGGTGGTTCAGCCAGCTTACGGTGGGCGCCAGAACCCAAGAATCGGCGTTGGCATCGTGCAACATGGCACCACCAGCGGTTTCCACCACAAAAGGCTGGAGACTATGATTGCCGGGATGATGCAAGTCCATACTGGGGGCCTCTTGCCCAAGCTATGCAAGTTAAGTCATGGTCAATCCCAACCACCTCGGCCCTCCCAAATCCCAGGCCCACCCACTTCTGTCGCCCAGGAGTGCCGGGAGCAGGGCCGTATCGCTAGCTGAGCACCAAATATTTGCAGCGACTTGGCCCAATAGGAGGAGAAAGGGAAATAAAGGCTAGAGCTGCGCTAGATAGCAACTTCAGATTAACACAGGAGATCCCCTCTACGTCACAAGCATTACGGGGGGCTTCCGAATCCTGGTGCGTTAAAAAAAATTGTTTTTGGCTTGGCACGAAGCGCACGTAATTATTATTATTCTGCCTAGGTTAAATCTGGCACCAGCGCGTTTAGGCCCATTAAATGGGCAAAGATACGTACCAGTAAATAGTATGGAGGCATGGTTTTTAAGTAGTTGTCTAATGCTTGCCGCCACTTCAGATTAGGCTTAAGCTTGTGAACCTTGAAAAAGTCATCTGCAAAGGATAAAAACACATGATGTTTCACACATGCAACACTGCCGTCCAACTCATTCCCAGCTATCCATTCCCTCTTCCAAGTCATTTTCCCCCCCTTCAGAACTGAGCTCCAAACTTTTACATCGCCAGTCCATTAGCGCGACACGTTTGCAAGGTACAAACCAATGCAACAGCCACCAGTTATGAAGGGAAGCGTCACTATTTAAGAGACCTCTGACGTTTCAGCTCTGTTCACCTTGAGGCCAGCTCCCACTGGACATCTGAGGGGAACCGTACCTTGAAGTGGCGTCTGCCAGACTTTTTAAAGCAAAGAAAACATTTTTAAGGGAGCATTTAAGTTACAGATAGAATGCCTGAGAGACTCTTTATGGCACACATTTCGCCAAACTACTCTCAAAAGAAGATGAATCCTAAAACAAGGATCCTGGCCATCCCTTAATTATTACATTTTTTAAAGGAAAGAGAAAAGTCCATTTCTCACGTCTTGAAGTCCCTTGAGAGGAAATGCCCACCAAGAAAATTGGTCTGCAATCACTTGGTGTTTCACCTACCCTGCAGTTTATAAAGCGTTTGGAAAGGTTAACTTTTGGACTACAACTCCCATTATTCTGCATCCATGTTCTGGGCCTCTGCTTCAAAAAACAAAAACCAGAAAGCTAACCACTAGGAGGTTCTGTGATGGATTTCACTGCCCTTTGCACCTCATCTGATTACATTTTTTTTTATCCAGGAGCAGCAACCAATGCTCCTATTTTAATCTAGTAAATTCTCGTAGAACACAATAAAATTTTGGCGAGGAAGAATTATTGCTGTCCGCTGGGAACAAGAAGAAATCTGAGGAGCGGCTACACCTCTGGGGCAGACAAAATCTTAAGTGTAATGAGGAAAGCTAATGAAGACAAACATGGAAATCCCCCTAATTCAGAAGGAGCATCTCCTATCAGTCCTCTTAAGGAAATTCCCTCTTTGTCTCTCTCTCTTTCTCTTTCTATATATATATTTTAGGAAAGGTGTTTTGAATTATTTGTAGCAAGGTGGTGCCCTATTTTCTCTGTCCCAGAGAAACAAGTGAAATTGCTACAGCAACCACAGGAAAGCAGCAAAAAGTCTGTGTAAGAACAACAGAGAAGGAAGCCCTCGTATTCCCAGCTGTTTCTCCAGGTGGAATGGAGAGAGCAGGGCTAGGCATTGTGTTTTTAAGAACAAACAGGGAAAGGAATACTCGCGTACGCATGCCACTGTTTTTATAAACCCATCACTGTTTTGTCCCAAGGAAGCATGAGTGTTAGGCGGGACTGAGAACAGGACAGGAAGGCACTCAAGAGGCAGGTGTGACTCCGGGAGGGAAAGAGGGAAAAACAGCTTCACACACAAATGCTTCTCCTAGTCTTTCCTTGGGTCTAAGCAATGTGATCTGACTGCTCTGCACATTTCTTGCCTGTGACTCGTGCCGTCTGGAATCTCCAACCGGCTGCTTTTAACGCTTTGAAGGCAGATGGACTGGAAACCTAAAGGCCCACCAAGAACATGGGAATGAGAAGTGCAGATGGCCTAAAAAAGAAATCCAGCTCCCGATTCTTTGTTGACAGGAGGAGAAGAGGTGGTGGTAGGAAAGGAAGGCAAAGGGCAGTTCTGGGATATGTAGAAAACTACTCACAGGATGTCCTAACCGTCACTCTGACGTTCATCCACAAGGAAAGAAAAAAAACATGCACCTCTGAACAGTAAATCTTGGACGCTCAATAGCAGAGATGTGGGGAAGGGGAGAGGAAGACTCAGATATTCAAACAGGGTGTGACTATGCAAGCAGAGTGCCGAGAGTCAAACAAAGCTGGCCATGGAGTTTATGACCAAGACATCTACAACTGTTTAGGATGCAGAAGAAAAATCAGGAATGTGCTCCAGGAAAAAAAATAAATACTAGAAAACCTGCACAAATTTGAGATGCCTGTTTTTACAAAATGCATTGAGTAAGAACCCAGCCACTTGACTTCTATGCAATGTATGACCTGCAGAACCTACAATAACGGCAGCTAACATCTAAGAAGCGAGCCATGCCAAAACATTTCAGCATGTTCCTGCACACAGAGTACGTTACAATCTTTACTGCACAACAACTCTGGCGGGAGAGCTTGTTTTGTGGACGAAACCGCAAGGAGAATCCTGCCCAAACCCCATTTTTACTCCATCAAAACAGGAATCAAAACCCAGGGTTCCCTCCAACGGCCCATGGCTTTGACAAATGTGGCTGTCCATGCATTAACAGTAGCTACTCTGCATTAGTAACCTTGGTTCCTTTGGGACTGAGAGAGAAGGGCCCAAGCGATATAAAACATTATCTGTTTGGAAAACAAATCCACCACATCCATAAGGGGTTTATTCCCTGTGAAAGAAGGGGAGAAGGAAGTCTCCCGGACTGTGATAAGGTTCTAGTCCTCTGTGGGCTTCCATCTCCCACACAGCCTTTGAACCCAACTTTCTCACAATGAAAGCAAAAAACAAAAAAAGGAAGGAGGAGGAAGGAAAAAAAGGGGGGTGGGCGCACAAGCTGCTGCAAGAATATGCAGACAACACATCCTGAAAGAGGGAAAAGAATGGAGGTTGAACCTTACTCCAATAAAGGAAGAAGCTACGAGTCTAGGAGGTGAGGAGCATCAAACATGCACTGGCAGCAGGTGGCTCTCCTCCTCTGCTGCAGAGAAAAAAAGGGAGAGGGGGGTGTAAACATCCTCTTCTCCCCACGGCAGCCCTTTGCAACACTCTTCAGACGCTCCGGTCTCCCATCCCGTTTAAGAAAACGGCT